GCACGCCTTTAATCCCAGCACTCGGGAGGCAGAGACAGGCGGATCTCTGTGAGTTCGAGGCCAGCCTGGACTACCAAGTGAGCTCCAGGAAAGGCACAAAGCTGCGCAGAGAAACCCTGTCTCGAAAAACCAAAAAAAAAAAAAAAAAAGATAGTTTTCAGTTGGTAATGTAAGTTAGGATAGAAAATGAATTAGGTACAACTTTTGGATTCACTAAAAAAGGACAGATAATGGAGTATTTTCTATGAATTTGTTAAATGTCTATGGACTGGACATTGTTAATGTAATTCTTGACTATATATATATATTATATATACTTATTATATGTACTTTTCTTATATCAGTTATAACCTTCTGCCAGGGTTCCAGAGTGGAGCAGAGAGTAGCTGGGAAAAGAGAAAGAAGGCCCTGCCCCGGCTCTGAGGGACCCTGGGGAGATGTCCTGCAGACACGGGAAAGCATCAACAGAACAAAAAGTAGGTGCTTTTTCCACTCCCTCCACAGAGCTGCACCACGCTGGAATTCTCTGAAAGAATTTTCCTAAGTGCAACAGGTGTCTCCAGCCCTTGAGAAGCTGGGTCAGGACCACCATGAGTTCCTGGCATGAGTCCAAAGGGCAGCTGGATGTGATGACAGACTACACGGAGAATCACATGTGGCGGTGACACTGTGGGACAGCGCCGTTTCAGACAAGGTCCTCTGAAAGGAGCCCCCAGAGAGGGAGGAAGGCCTCTGATTTGGGGGATAGAAAAGGTATACAAAAAAGGCAGCCAAACTCCTCTTAGGCTGAATCTTACATGGGTTCAAAGCTACTTTTGTTGAGACAGGTTGTTCTGGACTTGCTCTGTAGACCAGGCTGGTCTGGACTCAAGAGATCCGCCCGTCTCTGCCTCCCAATGCTGGGATTAAAGGTGTGCGCCACCACTGCCCGGCTACTTTCTAGAAGAAGGACCACCCGGCCCCTGTGGGTGCTGCTACACCTTAGTCCCCAATGGTCCCCAAGTTCCCAGCAGCCCACTTGCCATCCTGTCCTCGAATGTCTTGACCATGATGCCGTCGGGCAGGGAGGTGGCCAGCAGAGCCATCTCCTTTCGTACTGTGCTGAAGAACTTCTTGGCTTCTGGAGGCTGGAACTCGATCTTCTTGAAGGAGTGGTTTGCTGCAAGGAGACGAGAGTCAGGCCCTGCCTGACCCAGGCCCTGACCCAGGCCCTGACCCTGACCCTGACCCAGACCCAGACCCAGACCCTGACCCAGACCCAGACCCTGACCCTGACCCTGACCCAGGCCCTGACCCAGGCCCCGACCCAGGCCCTGTCAACTCCAAACCCACACTGTCCTGGGAGCATGACCTGGACAGTTGCTGCCTGAGAGATTGCAGATGGTGAAGGAGCCCAGGTACCCCCACTACTACCCCCCCCCCCCGGGGCAGGGGACAGGGGCAGGGAGAAGGGCGCATACGCCACTTGGCCTCCAGGTGTGTTGTAGAAACAGGAATTCTGGGGGATGAGGAAAGACGACAGCCATTCAGGTTGACTCACAGGGTGCAAACTCCAGCACAGAGAACACCTCGCCCTTGGCACTGGTGAAGGTGACACCAGGTTTTCCACCACACTGTTGACAGAGCACAGGAGTCTCACTGGGCCACTCGGCCTTCACTGGTGACTGTGCCTCGGGTTTGTCTTCCTTGCGTTCTGTGTCGGGCACCGCCTCCATCTTCTCCTCCTCAGCGATGGCCACATTGTCTAGGGTCTTCTTGAGGTTCTCCTGGAGCTTCTTGATGTCGTCCAGAAACTTCTTCTCCCGGGTCGGCTTCTCAGGCTCCACCGTGGGAGAGGTGGGGGACCCTGTGAGCAGCTGCTCCACAGTCATGTTCTTGAGGCTCTCCAGGATCTTGATGGCCTCTTTCAGCTCCCGGAAACTCTTGGGAGGCCCATCCTTGCCAGCTTTCTCCATCAGCCCTGCCACGGGGGCAGCCATGGCCACGGCTCCCTGGATGGCAGCTGTGGCTGCCTCTTCACTGATTACCACCCCCTTGTCCTCCTCAGGGGCAGCCAGCTGCTCTGGGGGTAGGATGGCCAGGTCTTCTATCTTGGGGTGCTCGTCATCTACCAGCCCATTGTCTGTCTCCCAGCTGTCACTGTCATCTTCCCACTCATCCGAAGACGCTCCACTGGTGCTGCCTTCTACCGAATCGTAGTCCGACTCCTCGATCTCAGACTCGATGTTGTATAAGTGCTGGGGGCAGAAGACAGCAATTCACACACAACTCTGGCCCTTTTCCTTCCTGTGGACGACTCACGGCGGCCTCGGTGAGCCCCTCCCCTCTTCTCTGCCCTCAACTCTGCATCTGAAGCCCTGTCCATGCTACAAGATTCCAGTTCTCTGCAAGGGGCCCTTTGCCTACCTTCTAATCCCAAGCTGTACACGAAGCCCAGTTAATGCGTGTACCACCTTCTCTCAGGCTCTGGGCAACGAGGGGCACAAGGAAACCTCAGCAAAGCCAGCCCACCTCCAGCACTCAGGCCAGGTGCTAGGGTGGATGGTCTTTGTGGGCGGCACTAGGAGAAGTAGGTAGCCTTACTGGCAGGCAAAGCAGGTGCACTAGAGTTGGTCACACTGTGCCCTGCTCTCCCCTAGAATGGCTGGCTGCCAAGGTGAGGGACAAACCATTCTCTGCCTCCTTGGCCCGCCCTCTTGTGTGTACCAGGAAAGGAAAGTTGGACTATGCATGGGGTCAGCTGAACTGGGGCCCGCCTTTTCTCCCTCTTCCTTATCTGTCAACAGTTATCCTAGAAACAGTGGCAGGAAATACCCTGCACGGCTCAACCCGGTATGTGAGGAGTCTAGAGCAATCTAGAAGTGTGGGAACCTCACACCTGTGGGATCCAGTTCCTGGAGCTCATGTGCGAAGGCTAGAGAGCCACCTTCAAGGGCAGCAGCAAGCAGCCCGGGAGAGGCCAGGGCAATCCCCGGCCGGTGGTCAGGCTCTCGCCAGCCTTACCTGTGGCAGGATGATGGTTTTTGAGTTGTCAGCCCACACCACTTCCACCTTGCTACTGACGTCTACTCGGGCCACCTGGCCCACTGATGGCTGAAGGACAAGGGGACAGAGTCAAATGGGTGACAAGGGATGACGCCCCAGGCTCCTCATCCCTGGCCTGGCAGCAAATACTAAGTGGCCTTCCCAAGTCTGCAGCAACTCTCTCTGCACACGTACTGTCCTGGCCTGCCTGGCTCGACTCCTCCCAGCGTGGGTACTGGGCCTTCAGAGTTTGTTTCGACCCTCTGTCTAGAATCTGTCTCGTTGACCTCTCCCAACATCCCCACCTTTTGCTTCAGGTCTAGCTCAAGTTCCACTTCCAAACCTGCCTAGACTCTGCTGCTGCTGACTGTGACTCCTCTAGGGAATGACTTGCAGGGCCCAAGAAGCCCAAGGCCTGCAGGTGCCCGGGCTGCCTGTCTCTGATGCAGGCCATGCCAACCATCCTGGGACACGGAGTTGTAAAACTTTCAGGTCTTAGTGCCTGCAGCCACCTGGTGGCAGGGTCAGGCACTGCAGGCACTGCCCAGAGCATGAATTTGGCGAGTATGCCTACCTCATCCTCCTTGGGCAGAGCCCCGTCCTCAGTGTTCCCAATGCGGATGACAATATCAGTTGTGCGGAAGCGAAAGTCAGGGTGGTCAGCGATGTCGTAGACACTCACATCCTCCTCCTCTCCAATGAGCTGTGGAATAAGCCAGGCTGGCATGAGCCGCCGGGGCCTCACCCTTTCCGCGGAGCCCATCCAATGGAGGCAGAACGGTAGACTCACCTCCACGTCATCCCCACTAGGCCGCAGTTTGAACCACTTCACCATGCAGGTACGGCCAACATGGTCCCCGGACTGCACCACACCATAGACAGCAGGGTCTGGGCAGCTCTGGACTAGGGAAACCAGAAGGGATTTGACTGCCTAAAAAGCCCTGGGATGCCTGCCTGCAACCACACTTCAAACCACAAAGGCTCCCCTGGCCTGTTAAAGAGAGGACTTCAAAAGGTACTCAGAGGCCCCAAGTCCTATCCCCACTGGCCCCTGGCCTTGTCTAGAGTGTCCCATTGGCCACCCTGAGGCTTAGCACTACCTCGCTTGTCCACCACAAAGTCTCCGGGGCAGAATTCGTTGTTGTCCAGGTGGTGTACCGGGAAGAGGTCGTTGGAACGGATGTTGCATTCCACAGAGCCGTCCTGCCACATCACGTCAGCTGAGGTCATTGTAGTCACCACCTCCACGGCCACCCTGCAGTGCGGGCCCATGAGAAGGTGACCTTCCATCCCTTCCAGGCCTGAGTCTCAAGTGGGCAGGGTAAGAGTCTATTGTGTGTAAAGCTCACCTGTGCCCCAAGCGTGATACGTTCTCTGGGGCCAGTACCGTAGGGAGAACTGGGGCAAACGTGGTCCCACAAAGCCACCATCCCACACCACTCTTTCCCTGTTTACCAAGGCCTACCCTAGCCACCACCTCCCCCCTACCCCCCACCCCCGGGATGGGAGCACCATGAGCTCTTACAAGGCACCCAGAGCTACTGAGTACATATGTGAGCCCTGAGATGGGCTCTTCCCTGGGCCCTGCAGGATGAGGAACACTGGGAATTACCTGTCCCCAGGCTTGAAGTCACGCGTAATCTTATTCTTCTTTCTCTTGTGTTTTCGCTTCAAGTTTTTGATGGACAAGGGAATGCTCTTTTTGCGACCAGTGCCGCTGCCGCTCTGGGAGGAGGTCGTCGAGCTGGCGGAGGAGGTCACTGAGCTGCTGTCATCTGTGTCATCAGCGGCCTCGTCGTCGGCATCCTGCTCTGCCGAGTGCAGCCCGTCCTCTGCGCCCTCCTTCAGCAGGAAGGGGGGCAGTGGCTCGCCGGTCTCCTGAGGCTCCTCTGGCCCCTCGTCTTGCATCTCCACTGGGCTGGCGGACCCGTCAGGCTGCTCCTCGGGGCTGGTAGACCCTACTTCACTCTTGGCTCTGGCTTCCCCTTTCTTGTCTGGGTCCTCCATGGAGTGATCCCTAGGGCACTGGGTATCTGGGGCGCAGGACATGATCCTCACAACCTGTTTCTTCAATAGGCGCTTCACCTGTGAGAGCAGAGCAGAGGAGAGGCGGTTGTGGAGTGAGGCAGGCAGGCCCACCCTGGCCCTGTCTTGGGGAGTAGAGCTACAACCACCTAAGTGGTCAGCAAGGGTCCTCATGGCTGCCCCCCAAGGCCTAGAGCCCAGACCCACCTTGCTGGCTGTGGAAATGGCTCACGGCCAGTTCCATGAGTGCCCACACCCACCCACCTCAAGGACATACCTTCTTGGCCATAGAGCCCTCCCCCTGGGCGCAGTTTTTTTCTGGACATTCCCAGGCAATCTTGGCCGGCTCTACCTTGGCTGGGAAGACATATAGACAGCGTTCCCCAAGCTGCCGCTGAGCATGGTCAAAGCATCCGAGACGCTTCACCCTGAAGAGAAAAAAATGGGAACTTGGATGGACTTCTGAGAGGCCGGTGGGATGCTTGGCCCTCTCATGCATTTATGGCCCAACCAAGACATGCCCGGGATGAGTCCCTGGGTTTTGGGGTAGGGGCACGCTCACCTGCCTAGGTTTTCCTGAGTGATGACAGAAGGTGGGGGGCTAACGCTGTCCGTGCCCCCAGGGCAGAAACTCTTGGTAATCCACGTGACTTTCAACTCCACAACCTGAACCTGGGGACAGTTGAGTGGGACAGGGGTGTGGTCAGAGGTGGACTTTCAAGGTCTCCAGCACCACACAGATACACTGTGGCCACCCACGAGTTAGGAGTTGAGATCCCTCCACTCTCCCTGAGCACTGCAAGGGGAGGGATGTCTGCCAATCAGCCCCCACGACTAGAACCTGGGCTGCCCCACGCTCCAATCCCTTTCAGGTCAGCAGGGTTTGGGTCCTGGGGAGCAGGTTGGAGGGAAGCAGCTTAGCCCCAGGGCCTAGAGCTTATGACTCAGCCCTCACCCCACCAGTTGGGCCCTTACCTCCTCCACCACCACACGGAACTTGCTTTTGGTGCTGAGTACAGGCTTGACCCCCGAGAGCCACTGGACACTGGAGAAGATCTTAGCAGGGCCAATGAGCACTTGGCCTGGGTAGAAGCCATAGGAGTCATCAAAGAAGAGACCCTGAAGGGTCGGGAGCAGAGGAAAATGCACTTGAGTAGGAAGGAAAATGTGCTTGCCTTGCAGGAGGACCCCACACGACATGGCCTTCCTGAAGCTCCCTGAAGCACAGTCTACAGAGGATACACTTTCCAAGCCTGGTTGGTACAAACTGGGGGCCCAGGAATCATACACTAGGACCAAAGCTCTAGAAGCAGTGGCACACACACACCTGGGTAATCACACACCCCTAATACACTACACCTCCGTGTGCTGTCTGCTGGCCCATCCGGCTGGCCTAAGCGACTGTGTACTGAGGCTGAGAACAGAGCCACAACAAACGTGGCAGCACACCTGCAATCCTAGCACTCGGGAGGCTACGGCAAGATTACCA